AACATCCCCTCAGCGCTTGATTAACTGTTACCACACCGCAACTAGGAGTATTTTCTCCTCCAGTATCACAGTGTGGTATACCAGTTGCAATGCAGAGAACCAGAAAGACTTGGCCTGGATAGTTGAAGCTGCACAGAGGGATGGGAACTGAGTGCCAGAACGTGGACACTGTATATACTAGCCACCTACATATAATAAGTGGGTTAGCAGCACAAGTAAGGGTACTACTCACCCAGGACGCAGCGTGTTCACCCCACCCTCACCGCTGTCGGAGATCAGATGTAAAGCCATAAACGCACACACCAACAGATTGAGGAACAGCTTTTCCTACTCCAACCTTCATAGCATGAGGACTGAGAGAAACAGTGGTGATCTTCACCGTTCACCCTCACTGTCGTTATACTGAGTTGCAATTACTGTACTATTGTTCTGGTAATATTGTGTCTATCCTGTTGTTTCTGAGATGTGCCAACAAAATTTTGTTGTAAAGACACATTGAGTATCAGCAAGATTTGTAATGCTACTGTACAGTTGCAGAAGAGAGGTTCTTTTTAGAATGTACAGAATTTGTCAACAAGAAAATAATTGGTATAGAAATCTTTATGGTACTAGCATTAATAGTTTAGAACTTTATGGACATCCAGCAATGTCCATTTGCATCATAGTATTGGTTGTTTTCTGATATTTTCACTATATAAGTTGCTGATTGTTGGTTGATTTTTACATGTTTAATTAATTAAGCACATAATTAAGTTCATAATTTTATTTTAGAAATGTCCTAATTGTTCATTTTTAACTTTTTTGTTTTTAAATAATTTTGTTTTGACATTTTTGGTAAGTGTTTTTTCTCGTGACCCATGTTGTTCTACCATGAAATTTTTCTAAGCTTTCAGTTGAATTTGCACTCATGCTGCTGAAAGATAAAAAAAAGAAGTTAAATAGAAATCACTATTAGTCCTTCCAAATTCAAGGATTGGAACAATGTAAAATGTCAAAAAAATGTCCTGACAGTATTGCTCTGAAAACCTGCCAATATGTTTACGGAGATTTCATTGGAGCATTTTCAGATTCAGTGAATTAGTAATTGTAAAATTGCACATAGTAGTTAATGGTCCCAACTTCCCAACTGTGATGATAAATATTTCTGATAATCATACAATGCACACATTTAGGATTATGGTGCAGTTATGCAATGATTAAGTCAATGGAAAACACAAACAGTCTTTACAAGACAAAATATTGCATTTAGCCAAAAGTGAGCACAGAATAATTTTACCATGAGAAGTACAAAATCTGTTCTGCATCAAATGCAAAACATGCAAGTTTTAAAATGGCTCTAACTCTAAAAACAGGCATCAGTAAATTTGTCACAAAAAAGATAAAATATTTTTCTTCATGATCAAAAATTGTTGCTAAAAAGTGATAATTCTCATTAGCTTAAGTTCTAGATTGTGTGATATGGTTTGTGAGAACTTTGAGAAGAAAACATCTTATGTCATCAAAGGTTTGTGTATGTGCTTATCTTTACATCTATCTAACACCTGATTTTCATCCTTTTTGACTGCCTTATCTCTTTCTGTGGGTCTCTGTGTCAGTCATTTGTGTACCTGTCATTCTCTACCTTTTCTCAGAAAATGGTCTTGGATGTCCAAGTTTTCTCTTTATCTACAAGCCAAAATCACTAGAAGCCACAGCACTAGGAGACCATGTCAAGAACACATAGTGAATAGTGAACATATCCTGGTGTTTGTGCATTTATATGCAGTGTAGTGCTTCCTTTCCCAGTACTAGGTATGGTCAAAGCCAGCAGCTGTGCTGTCAGGTTGTGTTTAAGTCTTTTCTTGCTCTGCTTTCTGTCAGCGGGCTGAGTTGGGTCTGCCTGGCGCTGTGCAGGGGTGAGCACAGATTATTAAACATCAGATGATCCTAATTCACCCTGATTGGAACTGGCTTGGCATATTTGCTAGGCTGGTTTGGTTGGGTTTGGCTGGTCACGGTGGGATGACTGTATTAGAGTGTTGTAGGCTGGTGCTTCTTAGAGACTGTGGGCTGTTTGTGGTCAGATTAAATTAGTAATGGTATTGAATTATTATGGATGGAGATATTCCTGCAGATGCTAGATCCGTTTGTCTCTATCAGGTCTCACCCTCTTTGTCTTAGTTCCTGTCCTCCTTCACAAGGGTTTAGAATGTGTAAGCATACTTTTTTTTTCTGCATATGTGTGCGTTCAGTCAGTCACACGTGCATGTTCTCATATATGTCCGACAAATGCCTCACATTGAACTCGATAAATCACCCAGCTGTGGCAGAAGGGAGAGCAGGGGGAGAAGCAAGAGATAAAGAAAGAAAGGGTGACAGAAAGAAGAGATCATCTTTACGACCTCTTTTCTCCATAAAGCTTATCCACGGTCATAAATCACTGGCCAGGAGGTTGAGGCAAGGCCTGATCTCTCAGGCCAGTAAAACATATTCATGGGAAGCTAAGAGCACAGAAGTGTGGTTCCCATTTGTCTCCCTTTGGAGTGTTTTATATTTGGCAACACTTCATTGATGCTCGCTTTGGATAGGATATAACAAAGACAAAAGAAGAGAAGAGGATGAGGAAGAGGAGCGGATGGAGTGAGTTAGAGAAGTATGTGTTTGTACTTAAAATGTGTGTCTGTTGGTGTGACTCTGTCCATGTCTCTGTAGATTTATTGACAGCTGGCGGCAAGACAAGTCATCCTCTTGACATGCATCCAGCAGAGTCTCTTCAGTGCATCTCCCTTCTGCCAGGGGAGAATATGAACACTCAGAACACAAATCCTATGACATACGTGGAAATTTACATCATATGCATGTGCCTTGTCTAATTGCCAATCTGACTCTCAACTCCTCTCATGCTCCCTCTCCTGTTTTCCTTCCTCATTTCTTTGTCGCTGGCTGTCTTTGCTGTGATGGGCAGGTCCTTTGTGATCCAGCAGATCCCCAGCAGTAATCTCTTCATGGTGGTGGTGGACAACAAATGTGACTGCAGCATATTTGATCCAATCACTATGGACCCCATCGAAATCATGTATATCCTTCACTGGTCAAACACTGGGGAGTTGTGGAGGGCACCGTTCGCAAATTCTAATCTCTTGCTATCCTCAATAAAAGGCAGAAATAAAATGAGGATGAAAAGCGAGACGTCCAAATAACATGGACTTGAGAGTGAATAATTCTGTGATGCAAAGAAAACCTACTGTATAGTTGTAACACAACCTTCATTGAATTCATCAAGCTTGTTTAAATGCATCAAACTCCAGTAACAGTCAGCAGCTCTAATTTTTAAAGGATTCCTCACTTTATAACCAGTAAGTACACTACTGAGAATGAATGAACAAACTAATGATGAAATAAATGAATAGATGGATGAAGACAACCCTAAATGTGTTACACAGCTGCTCTGCTGTACTTTTAGCCAGTGTGTGTCCATCAGTGTTAACTTGATGGGGAATAGCATAGTGCTTGTCCTGTAACCCTTCGGTGGATGAAAGAGATGAGAGCCTTGTGAAGGATCCAATCTGAAGCTGGGTTTTTCAGATTGCAGTACTACTAGAAATCTGTTTCACAGTGCTGTGTGTGGGTTTGTGTTTGGACTGTGTTACACACACTGTGATGGGATACTGATCAATAGCAGACACGGCCCAGAGTGAATTCAGACCAAAGCAACTTTGCCCGTCACCACATACCCAAGCTGGATTCTCATACAGTGTGCATATCTTTGAAATGTAATGCAGTACAGTCACGCCGTGTATACATGTCCACCAGTGTTTATTTTGTTGTGGGGTGCTTACTCTAGCATAACGCATGCTATTCTGTTGCTCTGCGACAAAAGAAAGCCCATCAGATGCTGTTCAAAGTTAACTTCTTTCATTTATGCCCAGTATGTTGGGCAAAAAATACCCCTGCCTCCAGAAGCGTCTCATCTCTTTCCATGGTGTGCTCAAAAATGTGCATTCCTTTCCATTATAAACAAGAAATGCACTCCAGCAGGACAACACCCTGCAGAGGGTACACAGTGTCTCTTTTTGCCTTGACTTCAGCTGCACACAATGAATCTCTTAAGTGTGAGAGACTGAAAATACAAAAGGACAGGAGGCGCCCAGATACCTGTCACCCTTTTCACCCAGAGGTATTTGCACTACACTCACACACAAAGAGAGAGAGAATCAAATAACTCTTTCTTAATATATCTTCTGCTAATTCTGCTTTTATGTTTTGTAATAATAATAAAATATTATCTGTCCATGTTATGGCTTTCTCTTTCTCTAGGAGAACTCAATGGAGTGTGGGGGAGCTACGAGTGTCACCTTGTCTTTTGCAGCAACCTTGTTTTGCGTCTTCCTGGTGCTGTTTTCTAGGTGACCAGAGCTGGACACGTCTCTGTCCAGAACTTGACCTGGATCATCTTGACTCGGCATGCAAAAGAATCGCAACAATGCCACAAAAAAAAAATTCATTTGTTTTGAATCACTTCTGCTGCCACTTTTACAATTGTGCCCAATTTCAACAAAGCCCCTAGCTCTGAGGTACCTCCCTATAAGGTCTTTATTTGAAAGGACTGGTACTGGATAGCGATTACGGCTGCTAAGTAGTGATAATTAAAGTGCTTTAGCAATATCTCATGAGCTGCACAGAAAGTTTGTGGGGAAAGATGCAAAGTTTTGAACAGCAGAATAATGATAAAACTGCACTTTGTAGCTTAAAAATTGCACAGGTGGTCCAGTTATACACAGTGACACACCCAGCATTATGCTCAGTCCTTTCAGTTAGCAGCTAAGGGCTAGGGCCTGTAGATGAGCTTGGAAGTGGGCATTAGACATTAGAGCCAAGTAACATCCATGTGGAAAAAGACAAGTGCATCTTTCCCAGGTCTGCCCTGATTTTTCATGGACAATGATGAACATAATTTTGAAAATAAAGAAGGTGGCTGGGGTTGTCATGAAATGTTTGTCCAATGATTGTTTT